ATATAGTCTGCGGTAGGTTCATCGCGTTTGACCTTCAATCAGCGGTAAATGACAAACCAGTTTACAAGCTGGAGTATGACGCATAAATCGAAAAGATCTGGTTGAGATTCGCTGCCTGTGTCAAATCAACATGCGCAATGAGCACAAATCAAAAGTCGTCAAAAAGTAACTTAACATCAAAGTGTGGAAATCACTGGTGTTAGCCTACCTCGATCAGAGCATTACTAATGGCAAGATCGAGTGATAGTCAAAAGTAATGTTGTGCATCATAGTGCGAATGAATCCAAAGCATGTGGGTGGTTTGTAATGGTCTACGTACAGCCTGTTTCCAATAAAGTAAACCTAACTGTTATTCTCGTGCTCAGTTATGAACGCATTACTGCATTAGCGGCCTTTGGGTTTCCAGTAAATGTCCAATCACTGTTCATACTAGTTGCGAACATTTAAACATTCTGTTGCTGAGCGAAGAAAGACCGAGCCTCTAAAGACGAGCTTGCTCTTCTCAGCAGGGATTTCTCCAACGAACAAGGGCTTTTGTAGACCATAGTGTTGTCCAAAGGCGAAGACTGTAGAATGGTAGGAAATAACACAAGCGCGATGCGCATAGTCCAATGGGACGTTGGATCTACAAACTGACGATATATTTTCTATTATGTGTGGTACAGAGATTAAAGTTGTTCGCGATGATTTACAAATAGCTCGTACTAGGTCAAGTACAAAGCCAATACCATGTCAATAAATTGGATCCAGCGCCAGCATTTCTTAAAGTTGTTAAATATTAATACATGCAAAACGACAATACAGTGCAAGTCTACGCTAGCATATAATCTGTTGACATCGTTATATAAATATTAGGAAATGACGAGTGGATTTGAAAGAACGATGCAAAGTTGAAGTGTACTGGATAATATATAACTGCTTTATTACGAATTTTTGATTGACTTTGCCTTATCCTTGGAGGTTGTGAGGAAAGACAACGGCAGATGCGATTTAGAGTTTGAAAAAACTAGATGTAATAGTTAAGATTAACATTTCTAACAAATCGATCGCAATATCGCAACTTAGTAACCATTTATCTCTATACTAATACAAAAAGCCCAAGTATCATGAGAGGGGTATAATTTTCTCTTTTGTGATGTAATAAATTGCCTATGAAATTCCATCAAGAAATAAAACTCTACACTAATGCCGTGGCACACAATCTCACAGGTCACATAATCGGAGTTCCGATTTGTTGCACATACTCACTTAAATTGTTACTTACCGTTATGGCTATTTTATAGACAAACGATTTTCTTTTTTTAATCTGTTCTGATAATGCTTAAATTCCAATGGAATTATGATTGATGAAACATAATGCTCAAATAAAATTAATATTCGATATCACCGGTCGACCCCATGTTTGTGGAGTATGTTTATTAATTCCGCGGGATTTGTCACATACTAATACTAATACAACAAGAATAAGTTTATGAAATATGCTTAAAGCACTCCTTCTTTCCATTCCAGCATCATATGCTCCCTGTACCACTGCCTAAATAGACAATAGAATCGAACTAGTACAAATAATTGTGCTGACATATGAACTTATCATCATAGCGTAGATCGTCACTCACCGTAGTCTCGCTTATTAGTTTTAAATGAAAATGCCGTTGATGCTTGCGATTGAACAGTCATGAATCCGTTAATGAAGCCTCATCTCAAGTCACAATAGAACTCTTATACTACTGCGTTCAGTGTCGTTTCGTGACAGTCAATGAGATGTTACTTTTCAGCCCATGCTTTGTTTCACAGTATCCCGCGGGGGAGAAGGGGGGAACTGTTGGAGTGTTAGAGAATATGCATAATAGAAGGTAACCTTTGCATACTATTTGTTTTACCAACTTGTGGTCAACAGTAAGAATGAATTATTCATGTTCCGATTTGGTTTTCTTGTGTTTTGGAGTCACAACAGATCGTAAGTATCCAGTTTAAGTTCTATTGTCAGTTAGTTGGTTGGGTAACCCAGACATCAATGTATCGATACAAGCAAAGCAGCGACATAGCAATTCAGGTCAATAAAGCGGTCATATTAGTAAATCAATATTCTGGCCGTATCCGACGCGCATTTTGCCATTTCTCGGTATCTCGTCGTCTGTATGTGAACAATATGTCAAACAACAAATCGGGCTGTGTTCATCATTTACCAAACATGGATACCCATTGTCAGAGTTCTCTTAACTTAGTTAGAGGCAACGTACTACGATACTATAAATAAAAGGTTTTTTGCACAACCTCAACTTTTTCAGCGGGGGGAGACGTTTGTATGTGAATAAATGGTATGATAACAAAGAACAGTCAACAGGCGCATGTGTTACGATAATGCAAATGCAACTGCACTTGAACACTGCATGTGCATGCATCTAGGAAGTAACAATAATCTTACAATATATTGTTACCTACTTGTATTAGACTGCTACATCCTTATGACCTTTAATACTACTTCATTGTGTTAGGCGACAGATCGGCTACACGTGACCCCAATTTTAACAATCGTTATTGTCCAGGACGAGACATGTGAGCAAAAGTTCATTACTTTTTCTGAATTGGGCTATCTATGCCTTCAAATTTGATCGTGAAGGACCGGACGCCAATAAGATAATACTTGTATGGCCTCTCTTTGTATTCGCTCTTTCACTCGCGAAGCAGGTCCTGCTCCTCCCGCGGGTGTTTTTTGATAATGGAGCACAAAATGCTAAATGGCCATTCTAAATCCCCGCCATTTCTAAACGAGATGGTTGGATTTTTATACTTCAAATAGCGGGGATCAAAATTTTAAAGCTTTACCCAACATTTCTGCGAAATAAATTTTATAGTTTATCTCGTCGCTAAAACTTATATGTTCAATATAGAATGAGTTATTCCTATGACGCGCTTATTTGACACTGTTACGCCAGCATCGTTTTCCATAGTTTATTCAATCATTCCTATTGGCAGGATAAACTTTTTTAAATTCAAATTATGAAATATGATTTTGGTTTTTGTAAATTTGTCCCGCCTACTCAATACGTATATTAATATAGACTCAAGATTAACAACTTTACTCCAGATCCCGGTAAAAAAAAGTCAGTCCATTGAACCTACATATCTCAATTACATACTTATTCTGGCAAACATAATATTACACTTCCGGGTTGGAAGACTTGCAGCCTGTAAAAAACTTTTCGGTGTTATTATTTGGTGAGAAAAGATTCAGTGATTTATTTGCGTAAATTGAGATTTACGTGTTTCAGCATTGGCTGATGCAAAAAATAGCTATGACAAAGATAAGTCAATTTCAGCTCACGTTGTACGCAACACATAAAGAATTAGCAAAAAGCAGAGTTGATTTGTTAAAATTCCCAGAAATTATAAATTATTCGAGCGTTTACAAAACAACGATAGAGGAAAAGTTTAACTTATTACTAGGAAAACTCTCACCACATAGGAGTTTACAGACATATCATAATGTTTGCTTGAGGCATACCTAATTACTCTTCCGACTAACCTATAATAAAAAAAGCCTACTTGGTCGACAGTCAAGATTAAAACATTTCGATTCTAACGTTCAATGATGGCTAGATCGCCCAAAGTCGCGTCTAATAGCTTTTATGGTATTAACAAACAAAGATTTTCCTGAACACCCCTTGAGAATCAGGCAATTGAATAATTTTTGTAAACGCTATTGTTCTAATGCTTTACACGTCTTGTCTTTATTCAAAAAACACCACCAATTAAATACGCCTTATTGACGTTCTACATGTGTCATTATGAAAGAACACTGGTATAATTGCGATAGATGTCTGTTATCTTCAATCGTTTAACAAATTACTATTGTCTTCTCTCAAACGATTTTTTGACACGAACAAAATGTCAGCCCAAGCACTGGATTTGAAAAGTCACAGATCGCATATACGCCCAACCAGAGAAGAGGAATATGTAGATCTGACAATATGAGCAGTTTGCGGAACGTCCCGTTTCTCAAACCAAGATTTCTGCAAGCATTTGGCAGAGGTTGAAGAATGCGGGTAGGCACTGGTTTGAGACTGGTTTCGATCTCGCGAAAGACGAAATCTGTGACAGAAAATGACAAGAGAGACAAATGAATGTTGTAATAATATTAATATTCCAATTTACAGTTTATTGTTTGAGCACTTCTTTACTTTTGCGTTAAAATATTTCTGCATAGTTTACTATTAGTTATGAGTTTTCATTGATAGAAGTCTGATTTTTTTTGCCTATCTGAATGTACACTCAAAAGATATAAATAGACATTATCGTCATATCAGAATGCGTTAATAAATATTACCATTTTCGGCAGTTAATTAAAGAATATTTCGTTCTTTAATTTATTCGGCGACTGTTTGGCCTCCATTACGAGTATGCATGTATGCAATCACTCCTCTGTGACATATGCATGAGCGTGACACTGCAAGAGGGACGCATAAAACTGATGATTTTTGTGTGCAGTTACCAGCAGTAAATTCATAGACAGTCTTGTCAAGTAAACGTACATTCTTGCCAAACAGGGACTTGTAGAGAAGCCTTTGGTGAAGCCGACTGCAAAAATAGTTAATGCTTTGTCAATAGTCAACCCAAATTCAGTTACTCCCCTTGATATTAATGTCTACCACATATTCAGGGTAAAACAACCCCGGAACAAGCTGATAATCCTTATCACCGTATGACAATATTAATATGCTTGGTTAACTCGAAAATCCTTGCAAAGAAAGATTGCAAGGTACGAAAACCTGCAAATTGAAAAGTGTACGTGTTTGATCAGGTCAAAGGTGCAAAGTTTGACCGAAATTCAGAAAGAAACATTTGTGAAAAAGCCAATAATGGAAACTCTTTTTGGTCCATCACAAACCGTTTTCTTTTAGAAATTGAAATTTCTTCGCGTTATCGGTATGGTGAAAAGATTGCAAATCACATGACATTTAATTAAAAAATTTACCAGGTTTCTGAAAATATGTGGAACAATGGATTCTAAAACCACTTTCGATATCAGTACATTAATTACTACAATCGACTTTGCTGCGAAAAAGCATGTGAAACAGAGGAGAAAGGATTCGGACGCTACCCGTGAGTTTCAATGGCATGTTTGGGTTATCGACCGATACTTGGATATTGTTCCTAACCGCTGTGTGGATTATAGCATACATTAATCATCCGATAGGAGTGGCCAAGATTCTCGTCGATGCGGGAGTAACGGACGTCGCTACACTTCAAGCTGCTGTTCTTGTATGCCAAACCCAGTCGATGCATTGCTAATGACTGTCCTGTACTTGTTGTGATATAGGCAAACTACTAATTATAATATATTTTTAGCATGACACCGTTGAGGATACGAACACAACGTTCGAAGAGGTAAAGCTATATGATTTGTCTATGGAAAGATTGTCAAATATTCCAATATTTATGCTTTGGTTGAATCCCTAGCTTGAAGAGTATTTTGGAAAGGAAGTTGAAGAAATCGTCAAGGAGTGTACTGACGACAAGACATTACCCGTCATGGAGAGGAAAAGGCTGCAAATAGAGACGACGCCCCATAAATCTGTAAAGGTTATTAAGCGAAATCGTAAATGCAATATTTGATCAATTTATATCGTAGTGCTGACTAGAGCTTACAAACGAATTGCAGGCAAAACTGGTTAAACTGGCTGACAAACTGTACAATCTGAAAGATATACAAAGATGTGTACCAGTTGGATGGACGGTTGAATATGCACAAGGTAACTTTTGCTTACCGCCCATTATTCCTACATATCTTTACTTACGATCATATTTACCTCTCTTTTAGGATATTACACTTGGGCCAAAAAAGTTACAGATGGCAAGCATCTCGTAGACAGTTAAAGCTAAAACTATCGCTCATACTGAGATTCACTCTATCTCTTTAATTTGAATAATAATCACTGTCATTTACAATTCAGGCGCAAAAGGGGTCAACGATGGTCTCACGTCTCAACTAGAAGAACTGTACAAATCCGGAACGTTCGAACACCGTGGCATGACATACAAGTGTCATCCTACATACACATAATACGAAAAAAGGGGTGAATCGAATGGCACCGAACATGATAGCAAGAGGCAATACTATTGAAATTCTCATCATTATGTATTAGAAATGTCCTTATATTTAAACGTTTTTTATTTTTATTTTTAGATTCAATGTCTTAGTAATCAAATGCTGTCACTATGTCTTTTACTCCTGATTTCTGCTAACAAGTTATCTGCTAGTTTAGGTAGAATTCCGCCAAATTGACTTCTTGCTGCCAATTTTAATCGCAGTTTCTATAACGCCTTCCATCACGTATAATTGATCATTTATGTAATATCTATGGGTCTACGAACGAAAGTCGCAAGCATTCAGGTCAACAAGTTTGTCAAATCTTTCTTGCAAAAAATGTTTAGTGGGACGTAGTAAAAACGAATAGAAATGTTCAGAAAACACTGGTGTCCTGTGTATTTAATTTTAATCACTGCGCTCTATTCAGGGGAGGTTAATCTATTTGCATTAAGGGCTTCACCTCTGCACAGGTTGACGGTTACCCATTTATATGATCGCATCATGCATTTCCCTCAAATAAAAAGAGGAGAGCAAGTATTTGCAAGGATAAGGTCATGGTTTACGAGCGGAAGTCGAAAGTCTATTTAGCATACACGAATATACCTATCTTTTGAAAAAGTCGTGAAATTATTTACCAAATGCTAAAGGCTCATGCCGGATATCTTCATCGTCCACGTAAACTAGCACGGACGTATTTGAGTATTCTCATCGATAGATCAAGATAGTAACTGTATCAGTAGTATGAAATAATGAAAGAAAGACGTCGCCGCTACCGGCCACAGCATGAGTGTGCGTTCGTCGCGTGTTTTATTCATGTGTACTTTATATGTTTTGTATGTGTGCCAACAGCTATGATTAATGAGAAAAAGCTCACCGATTGGGTCGGGTGGTAAAGCTATGGAGATGGTGTCAATACTATAAAAAAAATGAAATTCATAAACTCAAGTTATAAGTTTCATAAAGTATTACAACAATTCCCTTACGGGTACGCTTTATGGTAGTGATAATACATGAAAACTATGAGAAACAATTAGCGCACCACATTGCAATGGTAAACGAAAATTGTTAGTGGTACCACTCGGACTCTAATGAAAAGTTTATTATAGCTCTTTTTCCTAACCATTTGCGATATCTGAATTATGTTAATGTGTTAGAATTAAAAATACAAACACATTACGAAACTTGCTTGTTAAATGGTGCATACATAGCATACTTCTACAATATGGTACGTACATCAAGTCAAAACATGAATTCGGATTAATAGCACTATTAGTAGTATTAATAGTAAGCTTTGAATACCCGCTGGTTTTTTTCGAAGGAATTTTGGAATAGCGTTCTACCTCTTCTTTATCTGATGATGCATCGAGGGCATGTTCAGATATCGTCGCTAAAAGAGCCTTTCGTGGTTGATGCTCCTTTCAAATACGACAGTTGTGCCAGTGATATTAGAAGGGCAGCCGATCCGAAAGTATTTTTAATGGAAGTCGATGAGTACAGATCGACTTACTACTAATCCTTGAACATGAGCTGACCATAATGAAAATACCTTTTTCTAGAACGAATCATAAGTACATTATAGCCTATTTTATTTATTTTATAGCTCGAGAAAACAAAGAATTTAGATTTCGACCATAATAATAACGATTCGATCTCGTTGATCGTTTGATAGTAAATATTAATACATACTTTCAATCCCGCTTGGGAACGGCTCAAAATGCCAAGGTATCAATTACAACAGTACTGCAGTATATCGTTTTTATTAGTATACTGACTTAAGCGTTTCGGTTAGGACATGATTCTTATCGTTATTAGGCAGCTTGGTTAGTATTAGAAAACTGTGTGCCATACCAAAAGACACAAGCTGATGACTGGTTGAAGATATCGTATGAATGGTTATACTACTGTGCTGCTTTCTGGTGAGTTCAAAACCATGCATTAATTAGGATCGGCTTCTACAACAGAACGTCAAAAAGTAAGAAGAGTGTAGGATCGAGACGAAAGCGGATTGTGTGTAAAATGACGTATCATGAACGGCTGTAATCTACGGAATTGCCATAGCGAAAATACAGCCGAATTGGCAAGTATTAATGACATCACAGTTCGCAATGTTGGCGGGCGAGAGTACCATTCAGTATATATAAATGTGTAATCTTTGTATTTGGCGATCGAGCGATACATTCACGATGCACGATTTCGAAAATTTTTAGCCGCATTCCCGTTACACTACAGCCGCATGCTTGCATATTTTTCTGGATTTCAGTATTTATTGTCGTCGATATTGACACCTAACATACTAATGACTGATTCTATCACTATGCTGAAAAATTTTTTCACTGTATTAATATGTAGTATTTGTGCATGTATACCTGGTTATACTAGAAAGAAAAAAGGGAATCAACATGTGTTATATCACAGAGCAGCTGAACAAGGAGATGTCAATGCTCAATATAATCTTGCTGTATGTTATGAAAATGGAACTGGAGTAGAAAGAGATGAGCAAAAAGCAGTTGAATGGTATAAAAAAGCAGCTGAACAAGGAGATGCCAGGGCTCAATTTAATCTTGCTTTATGTTATAAAAATGGAATTGGAGTAGAAAAAGATGAGCAAAAAGCAGTTGAATGGTATAAAGAAGCGGCTGAACAAGGAGATGCCATTGCACAATTTAATCTTGCTTTATGCTATGCCAATGGAACTGGAGTAGAAAAAGATGAACAAAAAGCAGTTGAATGGTATAAAAAGGCAGCTGAACAAGGAGATGCCAGTGCTCAATTTAAGCTTGGTTGGTGTTATGAAAATGGAGTAGAAAAAGATGAACAAAAAGCAGTTGAATGGTATAAAAAAGCAGCAGAACAAGGATATGCCAGTGCTCAATATAATCTTGCTCTGTGTTATAGAAATGGAACTGGAGTAGAAAAAGATGAACAAAAAGCTGTTGAGCTGTATCAGAGTGCAGGGAAACAATTTGTCAGTACAAGTTAAAAGCAGTAGGCATTATAGCAGAATAGCTGGATTAGATAGTGGCATTAATAATGTAACTGACTTGTGTCAAGCAGAAGCTAAAAAAGGAAACCCTTATTATTATGCTCAATTTGGTTGGTGTTATGAAAATGGAATTGGGGTAGAAGCAGATATTAAAAAGGCACTTGAGTTATATGGGGCATGCTGCAACAAAACCAGACAAAGTGAATATTCTGAAATAAGAGGCTGGTGTGGCTGAAATTTAACTAATTTGACTAATACTAATGATGTTTTGAAAGTAATTTGGTGCTCATTTATAACTTATGGACTTGTTAACTTTAATGTTCACTTTATCATACCAGAATGTGAGGAATATAAACCATAACAGGAGTAATATAGGCCTATCCCTATATAAAAATAAAATATATGAAACTAATTTACATTAAATCCACTATGGAACCAAAGAATTACAGCACTATTAGAAGTATTTTAAAGAAAGCT